TATGACTTCTAATTGATGTTATTATTTGACCCAGAAATTCTCAACATCTCTTCTTTTCTTACATGCACCCTTTTGTGTGTTAGTAAGGATGGAAGATATTTACACCGAAAGCATTTCCCTAACTTTGAAAGCCATGAAAACCTATTTGTTATTGTGATAAAAGGAAGGTTTTTCTGCAGGACACCTTGCATGTGAGTTTAGGTTTTCACAGGAGTGGGCACTAAATTAAATTGTATGGATATTGCATGCAGTGATGTGCAAACAAGTGCCAAAACCTAGTGTGTTCTTCACAATCCTCCATTTATGCTTGATCTGTGTAGAGGTAGATTGCCATTGGATGATGGCTACCGAATTTACAGGGCAACTGGTGTAAAGATCTCATATTCCCATGCCTTTATACTGTAAAGGTATGACTGTGAAAATTATATAACATTGTCACTGTTAAAATAAGTTAAACAATAATGCATCTACTGGTAGGATCAACAGATAATAAAACAATAGTCACATACATCATATATATATATTATATATATATATATATATATATATATATATATATACAGAATTTCCTGTATATATGAATAATGACTCTCACAGTCATAGGCATGTGCATGGGGTGTGCCCTAATCCAGGGCCTCTGATAAGGTAATACAGTTGACCCACCTGTACCGGACCTGGTTCCCATTGGTTCAAAAGCAGGGGTCAGGCACCTGCCAAGCAGAAGGGTCAGCTGTACAGCTTTATTGCAGACACATTGATTTTCTTCTGCATCCCCTTGCAGCTTCCTCTTTGCTCTCTCCAGCTACATTGCAGAGAGATCAGTTCTAGCGTCCGAGCCCCCATCCCCCTGCTGTCTGGGTCCCCCTGTGTGCCCCTTTCCCCCCACAGTGTTTCCAGCTTCCCTCATCTCCTTTTCCACCAGAAGCTGCAGGTACACAGGGAATGTTTCAGGATGGAGAGCGAGGAAAAGGGTTGGTAAATATGCCATATTTACCATCCCCTTTTTTTCCTGAATAAACACAGTGAGCAATTGGTACATATTGATCCTGTGTCAATTCCTCATGGAATCATAGTAAACAGTTTCTGCCTAGCAACTGCCTCTGTTGCTAAAGGGGGTAGAGGTTGGTGGGTGATAAAAGTGCAGCTTAACCATGGAGTTTTTACTGCCCCCCATCCTCACGTGTGAATAAGCCCTAAGAACTCACTCACACAGGTACTCTTGCAGTATGAGTAAGTGGATTGTTCATGCCGCTGGAGCTGCCTGTTACTCTAAGAAGACACAGCAGCTGTACGAACACAGCCACAGGTCCTAATATGACAGTTGTGCAGGTGTGTGTGAGTGGTCCTGAATGCACACAGTCTTTCTTCATGGCTGTACATCTGCACCCACACACCTGTCATATTAAGCCCTACTTCTGTGTTCATACAGCTGCTGCATCCCTGTAGAATAACATAGATGTTCTGCACACAGCTCCAGATGGCTCCAATCACATAACAGTAGCTGATACTGAGCGTTATTGGTATAGAGCCAAATTAATAGAGACCAGTAAAGTATTTAAAATTAGTAAGGATAATGACAATATTATCCAGAGTAAAAAAAAAGGATTTTATTATCCACTTAATAGGGATTAAAACCATTGTTCATAGTCATGTCCAATGTAAATGAAGGAAAAAGTGGGTGGTATAGCCCAAATTGGCAGTAAGCTAATTTTATTGACCACATTGGGCTATACCACCCACTTTTTCCTTTGTTTACATTAGACATATGACTATGAACAATGGTTTTAATAACTTTTAAGTGGATAATAAATTCCTTCTTTTTTACTCTGGATAACATTGTCATTATCCTTGCTAATTTGTAATACTTTACTGGTCACTATTAATTTTGGCTCTATACCAACAGCGCTCAGTATCAGCTCCTGTTCTATTCACCTGTCTCCTATGGTTTATTGAGCAGCTGTGGTTATAGCCTTCACAATCTACAAGACCTCATTTTTACTTACCAGCGTCCAAGAAGTTTGTCAGTTTCTCCAATCACATAAACAAACCATTGATTCGCACTGTGCAGGCCGCAGCATCCATGTGAATGAGCCCCAATACCACATTTACACACAGAGCTTTAGCAGGAATTTTGTTGTGTTTGTGTCCACTAATAAGGATTTTAGTGTTTTTTTTTTTTTTGTGAAAATATAATTTGATATTTTTATAGGGGAAGGGGGGCCTGTCAGGTAGACAGTACAGGGCCCCATGCTCCAATCACGTGTGCGCATTAACATTATAGCTTTGTGTGCCAGCAGGGAGATGGGAAAGATCTCCCTCTGACCTGTTCTGCCATAAGAGAAGTGCTTCTGCACCTCTTTTTATTGTGCCAATGAGGAGTTGGCAAAGATCTCCCACTGAGTAGCTCTGCTTGTAAGAGAAGTTTGGAAGCACTTCTCTTTCATGCTTAATCTGCAGGCCACACCGTTTTTTTTATTATTTTTTAATTGCTGGCATTTTTTTTTTACATTCAGCTGTCAGTGGGGAACCCCGCTGACAGCTGATGACTCATAGGTTGTCAGGGACTCCGCGGCCACCCATTCCTTAACAACCCATGACAGTACTGACAGATACAGTACATACTGCATGCATTTAATTATTTATTTCCTTTTGTGATTTGACTTTAAGGTCTTTTTATACGGTATTTACCCAGTGTTTTTGCTATTTTTGGTAAATACTGCATACTAGCAATAGTGAATTGACATTTTCAGTATCGCATGCAATATGTGGTCATGTGACTGACTTAACTCATGCGATAAGCTTTAGAGAATTCTGCCCATTGTCTGATACTACATATTTAAGGAGTAGTAGCAGAATGTGTATTGGGGTGTAATTGTAAGTATGCCCATGATGTGTGTGAAAAATATCTTATTAAATTGACAACTTTTGTGTAAAAAGATTCATTTTCCTTCCCCATTTTCTAAAGGCTTGTGGCAAAGACATGAAGTCCTCAAAGGACTTGCTCTCAAAAATGTGGTCATAACACAATGCTGCCATACTCAGGAAAAGTAACAGAATGTGTCTTGGGGTTAGATCAGGGGTCTCCAAACTATGTCCCTCCAGCTGTTGAAGTACTAGAAGTCCCATCATGCCTCTGCTTCTGTGAGTCTTGCCTGTGGCTGTCAGAGTCTTGCAAGGCCTCATGGGACTTGCAGTTCCTCAACGCCTGGACTGCCATAGTTTGGAGACCGCTGGGTTAGATTCTAATTATGGCTATGCTGCTGTGTGTATTAATTGACAACTTTGTGTACAAAATACAGTTTAATTTTCATTGCTCTTCAAATATGCAAAAGGCTCACCATCCCATCCATTAGAAAATACCTTGGGGTGTTTTCTCTCCAAAATATAGTCATTTTGTGGGTGTTTCCACTGTCTTGTTGCTCCAGGCCATTTAGAAATTAAATAGGTAGTCATAAAATTAGATGTTAGATTTATGCGTCTAGAAAGCCTCAAAGTGATTCTTGAATTTTTAATTTTTGGGGTGTAAGACTAAATATGCCTATCCTATATATGAGAAATATCTTATGAACTGACAACTTTGTGTTTACAAAAATGCATTTTAATTTTCTTTCTGCATTTTCCAAAAACTTGTGGTAAAAAAATGAAATTTTCAAAAAGACTTGCTTTGCCTTTTAGAAAATATCTTGGGATATATTTGCTTTCCAGAATGTGGTCATTTTGTGGGTGTTTCTACTGCCCTGGCAAATCAGGGACTCAGGAAATATGATAGGTAGTCAGGAAATTAGATATAGCATAATTTATAGTCCTTGAAAGCTCAAATGTTCTTCTTGGATTTTGGGCCACACTATGTGTTTAGGTTGAGATAAAGTCTCACACATTTGGTAACCCCATACTCAGGAGGAGCAGCGGAATGTATTTTGGGGTGTAATTATGCCTATGCTGTGTGTGGGAAATAACTTTTTTAAAATGACAACTTTGTGGGAAAATAAACTTGTGTATTTAATTTCTTCATTTTTCAACAAAAGTGACACAAAATTACAACTTTAAAAAAATCACCATGCCTCTTACTAGATACCCTGGACTACCTACTTTCCAAAAAGGGGCCATTTGGGGGTAGTTGTATTGTCTTGGCGTCTTAAGGCCTTCTAAAATGAGCACACAGGGGGGCATCAGGCTGCTCAGTTTCCAAAAATTACGGAATACCATAGGTTGTAGACTGTATAACTTTCACACAAACTAAATAATATACACTGATATTTGTTTTAGCAGAATTAGATTTTTTAGCAGAATACATTTGGCCAAAATGTATGATAAAAGATTATTTATTTCCAAAGTTTTATAACAAAAACCAAGAAACACTTTTGTTAAACTTTCACTATTTTTTATCTCTATATAGTAAAAAGTTTAAAAACCAGTGGATAATTGTCATTCAAAGTGTGACAGAGCAGAAAACTGGTCTAGACAGCAAGGGGGTCTAACATGCCGGTCTTCAAGTGGTTAAAAAACTGTAAAAGCACTATAAGAAAAAAATTAAATGAACTGTATATGGAATGGTATTATGCTACATATTCAAACATCAGCTGAGAAAGGAGATTACCGGCTTATAAGACGACTTTTTTTAACTTAAAAACATACCCCAACAATTGGGGGTCGTCTTATACGCCGGGTATAGAATGCTGGATGTGCGGTAATACTGTATGGTAGCTTCAGCTACATACAGTGTACCGCACTGAGCCAATCACGGCGAGCGATGTATTCTATTAATGAATACAGAGCCTGCTCGGATTGGCTGAAGTTGTGACATCATCAGCCCGCCTCTCTGACACAGCCAATCCGAGCAGGCTCTGTATTCATTAATAGAATACATCACTTGCCATGATTGGCTCATATGACGTCCTCCCATTCTCCGCGCATGCGTTGTGTCCCTCGGACACAGCGATCACCGATCACGGAAAGAGCCAAAGATGTCCAATCACAGCTGATCACATGTAAACAGGGAAATGCCGGTTATCGGCATTTCTCTCCTCTCGAGCTGTCACGCTGACAGCTCAAGAGGAGAGGAGAGCCGGTAATCGGCTTTCCGCGGAGGGGACATGTACACTGATCATCAGAGCACCGATGATCAGTGTGCCCTGATGATCAGTGTAGCCCCAGCAGTGCCAGCTGTCAGTGTCCATCAGTGCCACATCAATGCCACATATCAGTGCCTACCAGTGCACATCAATGCCACATATCAGTGACCATCTGAGCTGCCTTTCAGTGTCACCCATCAGTGCCAGTCAGTGCCACCTATCAGTGCTGCCAATCAGTGCCACCTATTAGTGCCAGTCAGTGCCACCTATCAGTGCACATCAGTGCTGCCTATCAGTGCCAGTCAGTGACACCTAACAGTGCCAGTCAGTGCCGCCTATCAGTGCCATGTATCAGTGCTGCCTTTCAGTGCCCATCAGTGATGCCTGTCAATGCCCATCAGTGCCACCTACCAGTGCCTCCTCATCAGTGCCCATCAGTGCCACCTATTTCATATGGGTACAGTGTTGCATGACCGCGCAATTGTCATTCAAAGTGTGACAGCACTGAAAGCTGAAAATTGGCCTGGGGGGGAAAAGTGGGTATAGGTGCCTTGTAGGCTAGGGGTTAAATGGTGTTGCCTCAGAAGGGGGTAGTCTTATACGACGAGTATAGCCCAAAACCTATGTTTTAACTGGAAAATTAGGGGGTCGTCTTATACACTCAGTCGCCTTATACGCCGGAAAATACGGTACATATATTGTAATTGAGATTTCAGTGATAACCCATGCATGTGCTGCCTATGATGACAAAATTAGAAACCATGTTTAGCTTGGCCCAATCACATTTCACTGATTAGTGAGACGGTCACAATTTTTTTTTTAATTGATACAATTTATTCATTATTCTTATCTATTTTTAAATAAAATGATGATATATTTTGTAATGCAGTTTACGTAAATAGAATTCAGAACTGTAGCATTATTTCCAAGTTCAATTTGCATGGAAAGCTTGAATCATGTGGGCCATTGATTCAAGCATACCATAATTTATTACTGCCTTTGTGCATTTGTTTTAGAAAATCAACCCCAATGTGTTGGGCTTCAACATTTTTTATCAGCTGCGGATGGTTCTCTTTACTGTTTGTGCATGTATGTATGTTTAAAACTGCAGGCATTTGATTAAAAAAAAATTATACATACAAATATATATATATATATATACATATATAAAATTGGCTCAGATTTTGCCTCTGTGATACAGATTTTGCTTCTGTCATACACTCCAAGTGACACAATATTGAATAATGTCAGTTCCCTTAAAGGATTAGCCTTGTTACACTGACGTCATCCCACCGAGGCTACACGTGTGCCCGGTGGTCTTTTATTATTTATATTATATATTATATTTCATTATTTTTCCTTTGAGCCATTGCTACCTTGCCGAGACTGTTTACCTCACTGAATCTTTTAGTGAGTTGATACCATTTGGATTGGATTGTACCTTATATTTAATAAAAACATGCTACACTATTATTATACCTTTTTTGTTTGGTGGCTTAATTTTTTGAGCCATTTAAAGTACCGCATCTGGTACAAATCTACACTAAGCAGTTGGAGTCGCCCAAGGAGTTGTCCTCACGGTTACCTGTGTGTGGGATTGGTTTGCTGCGAGGTCAGGAGTGCTTTCCGATGTGTGTGTGCCATTGGAGCCCCCCCTTCCCCAGGTTTTGACCAGATCCTAGATGACTACCAGGGTCCCCGATTCCTGATGTGCAAGCATTCTTCATTTTGCATTGCACAAGAAGTCACACTCGCACAGAATCCTGATTACACTGTGAATACTGGAATTGTCGATTTAACATATCACGGATCTCATCCATTCACAATTTCACTGGACTCTTACTCTATCATGTTTTTTATGCTAATAATGCTTTGTTTTTAGATGTGACAATGAGTCACCAGACCACTTTACATTCAACTTTTGTATTCTTCTGGATAATAGACATTCAACTTGTGTATTCATCTGGATAATAGGTTTAAATTGGCTAAATTATTATCCCAGTTGCCTTTGCATACAGAAATGTAGGCCAGGAAGAACTCTATTTATTTGGAGCTGTTAAAAATATTGGATACCAAAATGATTTGGGTTCAATTTTGAAATGTTATGTAAAAATGTATACATGGATAAAAAATTGGAAGTTGTGTGCTTTATGAAAGATAGCACCACAGCAAAGAGACAGGGTACAGTAATAATTTGTAGGAAAGCCATGTGTCAGTGTGAAATACTATATGAATGTAGACATCAACACCCTAAATAATATTAATAGTAATGCACCCCTGGTCACCAAGATATCCCGTCCACCCCAGGAAGTCCAAAATCAAAAGTGTTCTATAGCATCCAAACAAGGTCTCAGTTTGTCACCATGTGAACTATATCATTCTTCATGCTTCTTTATAGTTTTAATCAACCAATCTTTAAAAGATAAATTCTCCTCTTCCTCTTTATACCTCAAAAAATATAAACTAAACATAGTGCATTACCTTTACCACATAACTAACTATAAAGTAAAGTAATAGTGCTCAAAGCATACCCAGAATTAACCAAGTGTCATTCCAGTGTCCGTAACTCCTACGATTACCCTCAGTGAATAAATAGCTTGTTTTGAGTGGATTCTTGACTCATGGACCCTGATTTACTATTGTGCCTGGGCGCATTTCCGTGGGCGAACGTCTAATTTTTTATGAGCGACCGTCTACTTTTACCCCGCTAAGAGATTTACTATTGAGCAGCGTCAACAAGTAGTGCCCAATCGAATTTACTAACCAGACACACACCAGGAATCAGACTCACAAAGCAGACTTGGTAAGAGGTATGTCTAACACCATGAAAAATCACTGCAGAGACATGTTCACTTTGAAATTTGCTTTGCCAAATATCAGGACTTCACTTTAAACAATATCTACCATTTAAAAAAAAAAATGAAAATGTGTTAAGTTTTTTTTTTTTTAAGCAAAACGACACAGTGAAAAACTAGACGCCTGTGCAGCGTTTTTTGGTCGATATAAATGCGCATGTGCAGAACACATTTTAGACGTCCTCTGTGGGCGCTTGCTTTTTAGCCACTGCTCAATAGTAAATCTCAGTGTGGAGTCCTCTGACAGCCGACACTCGGTCGCGTCTACTGTGTTTAACAAACAGCACTAGGCATATCTTTATGTATTCTAATTTGATTTCCTTAGTTCTAGTGATTCTATTTTTGTTTCTTATCCTTTATAATTATTTCTGTAATGATTTTACTTATTTCGAAGGTCTAGATAATATTATTTATTTTGACAGCTGAATGTAAAAATAAAGGTCAGCAATAAAAAAAAAAAAAAAAAACAGCGTGGGTCCCCCCCTCATCCAACCAAGCCCTTCAGGTCTGGTATGGATATTGGTATGGGTCAGGAATGGGGGTGCTTGCTCGTCCCCCCCTCTTTTAAAAAAAAAAACCTGTGGGCTGCCCCTCAATAATCCATACCATTGGGGGGCAGCACGCTGCAGGTCAGGAAAGGGGGGGGCATGGAGCGAGCGCCCCCTTCCTGAACCATACCAGACCCATGCCCCCATTAAACTTTGGGGCAGGGGGGCGATTTTTTACCCATCTAAAGCAGTCCCCATAGATGGGGAAAATTGGCAGATTTTTTCTGCTGAAAATAAAATCGAACGATTTTCGGGCCGTTAGTGGGTTAATTGGTCGGCCATTTTTTGGGATTTTGGCACATTTTTTTATCAGTAAATTCGGAAAAAAAATCTTTCCAACTTTACTGATAAACAAAATGTGCCAAAATTCAGGAGGGGGGGCGCTCGCTCGTTCCCCCCCCCCTTTCCTGACCTGCCGGGCTGCATGCTCGGATAAGGGTCTGGTATGGATTTTGGGGGGATCCCCAAGCTGTTTTTTATTTAATTTCGGCGTGGAGTTACCCCTTAATATCCATACCAGACCCGAAGGGCTTGGTGTGGATGGGAGGGGGGACCCCATGCCATTTTTTATTTATTATGGTGCTGGTTTTTAAATGTAATTTTCCCTTTTTTTTTTTTCTTCACTATAGCTCAGAAATTCACCTGTCACTTCCCCCAGCTAAAAGAGAAAGTTTTCTTGGAATTTTATATCCCTAAAGGAAACAATGTTTACTTTGAGTTTATTAAAAGATACAAAGTTTCTGTAACTTCGGGGAAAGTGACTTCTAAGCTTGTGAACTATAGTGAAGAAAAAAAAAAGGCTGGCATTTGCATTTGAAAATCAGCGCCGACATACACTTTGTATTGAAAAAAAAAATTATTAACAATTGTGTAAACCGAGGCATTATTTTCAATGGATTTTCATTCGTAAACCGAAAATTACGTTAACCGAGGCGTTGGTAAACTGAGGTACGCCTGTATTAGTATTGCAATCCTTTGTATTGGGATACATAGAACCAACATACATCTGAATTGGCAACATAGCACAACATTTGTGTCACATTTGAGATATCTGGCTAGTTACACTGACCTTGCCCAGGGACCTAGGATTGATTCACACCACAGAAATACAGGCAGGATTAGTGTTCAACAGCTCCTGTGGATTAGTGGTTAGCACTACTGCCTCACAACGCTAGGGTTGTTGGTTTGAATCCCAACCACAGCAATGAATTTGCATGATCTCTGTGTGACTACCCTAACATACATGTGCTGGTGGCAGCATCTTTGCTTTCTGTTTAAATGATCCCTAGAATGTGAATTAGAATGAGGCCTTGTCTGTTCAAACACCTTTAAAGTAGCACCTTATGTGAATGTCAAACGATGGGATGAGATAAGGGCCTGGACTAATGATTGATTGGATAATGCTGGTTTGCACTCCACCTCCTTTTGGGAAAGTTTGTCAAACCATGAGAAGAGTGAGCGAGAGAAAGAAAAGGATTAAAAAAAAAAAAATAAAATAATGGCATGGAGTCCCCCCCCCCCCCAAATCCATAACAGACCCTTATCTGAGCATGCAGATACCGCATGCCTTCAAAGATTTATTTCCTTTGTTGAATTGCCTGCTTGGTTCACACTAGATGTGATTTAAAATTGTGCTTTTTGTTGGCAATTTCACCGTGTTTTCTGTAGATTTACCAATGAGTTATTGCGTTTTCAATTGTGTTTTGCATTGCGATTTCTATTGTAGTCTATATGTGAAATCGCTACAAATGCTGAAAAAGTTAGACGAGAACTACTTTTGAAATTGTGCTGCAGCAAATCGCTTACGTTAAGACACTCACATCCACATTCATTAGATCGGATATCAGGTACAATTTCAATTCCCAAATCG